AAAAATAAATAAACGTTGAAAAAAAATAAAATAAAAAAATAAAAGAGTCTACTCGATACCAGATGGTTGAAAATTGTTTACAGATAACATGGCAAGAGAAAAATGCAACAAATCCTGTTATGCAGGTGTGTATTATGTTTTACTTATGGTTTTAGGCATGAGCGGGTCTCTGATTAGCCCAACACTGACACTAAGACTGATTTGTAAATAATCACAGTGGAACCATTGAGTAGTGTAGCTTTGGGAATCCTTCATTCTCAGCCATCGTTTAAAACATCCAGACGCGCCTGGGTGGCTCCGTCAGTTGAGCGTCCGACTTCGGCTCAGGTCATGATCTCACGGTTTGGGAGTGTGAGCCCCACATCGGGGTCTCTGCTGTCATCACGGAGCCCATTTCAAATCCTCTGTCCCCCTCTCTCTCTGCCCCTCCCCTGTTGGCTCTCTCTCTCAAAATAAATAAATAAAACTTAAAAAAAAAAATCCAGTCACTGAGGCACTAGATGGCTCAGTCAAGTGTCCAACTCTTGATTTCAGCCCAGATCATGGTCTCAGATGGTCTCGAACCCTGTGTCGGGCTCTGTGCTAACAGCTCAGAGCCTGGAGCCTGCTTCTGATTCTGTGTCTCCCTCCTCTCTCTGTCCCTCCCCCACTCATGCTCTGTCTCTCTCTCTCTCTCTCTCTCTTTCAAAAATAAATACTAAAAAATTCTTTTAATAAAAAATAAAAATAAAAAACTTAGACATTGAATTAGATTGAACCAGGTAGGAAAGCCTGCAGGTCAAAAATGATCAAATACGGCCATTTTATATAGTTCAACCTAATATTAAATGTAATGTTCCTGAGACAAGTAGGTGATATTTCCTGAATTATTTTAACAAAGTTTAGATTAGATGATCAATTATTTTCTAGGACTATTCTATATTCCCCCCAGTGGACTTCCAAAACAAGTGGGAGAGACCAGTGTGAAACTCGGCGAGCCTGTGCCCACTCAGTGCTTGGCCTCCGCTGTTGCCAGGGACACACAGGAGCCATTCAGTCTCTCGCCCTCCATCAGGAGCCACGATTAGCGCATGTTCTTAACTAATGCTGGAAGCCTAATTCCCAGCACTGTGACTCACTGAATTCTAAATGTCCTTCAAAACTCAGCTCTGATTCCTTGGAACAGAATATGTTAACTGTAGTTAAATTCAGCTACCTGACTACACAGCCCAAGAAGATGGAGGGGTGTCACAGGCTGGATTCATGTGCTGAAGTGCCGACCCCCAAACCTCCCGAATGTGACTTTATTTGGAGATGGAGCCTTTACTGAAGTGATTAAAGTAACATGAGGTCATGTGTGTGGGCCCGAAGACGGTGTGACTGGTGTCCTTATAAGAAGAGGAAGTGAGGACCCAGACGCACACAGACAGATGACCCACGTGAGGACACAGGGAAGATGGTGTCTACACGGCAGGAGGGAGGCCTCAGGGGAGACCACTGAGTGACTGAGGGAGATTGCCCACACCTGCATCCCGAATTCCAGCCTCCAGGACTGTGACAGGATGGTCTCTGTTGTTTAAGCCACCGTCTCTGTGGTCTTTGTTACACAGCCCAAGCTGACCAGTATACTCGATGCTCCCACTGCACCTCGTGTGTGTTTCTTCATCCCGTTACCTCAGGCGGCACATGGCTTGGTTTTGCTGGTGTCTCCACTTTATATAGATTGAAGAATGCAGTGTATTTTCCCGTGACTTGCTGATTTTGTTCAACATGCTCCTCAAGTTTATCTGTGTTGATGTGTGATGCTACAGCTGCGTGGCAGCCTGCTGTGTGGACACCCCACGCTTCATTCCTCTGGCCTGGAGTGGACACTTGGATGGTTTATATTTGTGCACAAATACAAGCACTTGGGGCCCAGTTGGAAGTCTTTCTGGGCTGTGGAGTTTTGAGTGGAATTTACGGGCTGTAAGGCACACATGGTTTCCTACGCAGTGACAAAGTGTTTCTAAAAACGATAGCGTCCGCTTATGAACGTTCCCATTGCTCGGTGGCCTTGTCGACACTTAGTACTGGCTGCGTTCCTGGTTTTTGCCAGACTCGGCAGGTGTGAGTTATATTATCACGTGTTCTGGGCTGTTTGTAGTTCCTCTCAAGTGCTAGTGCACGTATGTGAGTGTCT